GAGAGAGAAAGCCTTCCCCTGGAGCTGATGCCCTGAATTTGGACTTGTAGCCTACTAGACTGTGAGAGAATAAATTTCTCTTTGTTAAAGCCATCAACTTGTGGTATTTCTGTTATAGCAGCACTAGAAGACCAAGACAGAGTGTGATATAAATTAGTACTCATTGAATTTGCTGGATATTGCAAAGCTTTAAACAGTTTTACTTGCTTTAATTTCCAAACAATTTTGTGTTATTTTCATATTCTACACACATTTTACACATCACAAGAAATCTTACCGTTTTATGGAGTCTGAGTTGGAATCAACTCGACAGCAACAGGTTTGGCTTTTTTGGGTTTTATATTCATTTATATTTAGTTTCATGTTTACCCCCCTGGATGTCTATGCTTCATATAAGTCCTCCTCTACTTGGCAAAAACCGAATGGCATTTTTGTTGCCCATGCCCCGGAAGACTATTCCAAACTCTACCTCACCTCTTAACCCTCTCTGAAATACTAAAAACCTGACAAATATCACAAGGGGAAAAGAAGTCTCAAAGTTTTGTCTGCCTTTGTAGTTCTCTCATAATTTCAAACATGGGTGTTCTACTTTTCTAGTTGTTCTCAGTATGAGGTTTGATCTTCAACAAATACTTCACTTTTATCAAAGGTGGAAACCTTATTTTATATACTATTAATTCTTAAATAATTTATATGAATTTGGAGCCCTGGTGGCACAGTGGTTAAGAGCTCAGGCTGCTAACCAAAAGGTTGGCAGTTCAAATCCACCAGTCGCTCCTTGGGAAACCCTATGGGGTAGTTCTACTCTGTCCTATAGGATCACTATGAGTCAGAATCAACTGAACAGTAACGGGTTTGGGATTTTTTAAATATATATACAGATAAAAGCTACAGGTGGTAATTAAGGTATAAATTTCTTAAGTGCTAATAAGAGACATTTCAACTTCTGCCTGATTTTTTAAAACAATTTACTAAATGAACCATATGCTATCAAACAGAAGAACTACATTATCCCTAAAGAGTAATATTTTTCAAAAAGAATTTTTTAGAAGCAGCTGGTCCTACGAAGTTAAATGCTATTTTTCATCACACAGAATTGAATGCTCTATTAAGAGAGAAAGAGCATGTAAGTAAATAATCAGAAACCAAATGTAATATTAGAAACAGTATGAGGTAAAGAACTTGCATAGGATAGGGAATGAGCAATCTGGGGGAAAAGGGGCATGTCAGAAAAGGAATCAGAGAGGAGCTGGATATGAGCAGGGTTTTTACGTGGGGCAGGGGAGCGACAAAGAGAACAGCGTGTCCAATGCAGAAGGCATAGAACAGCATGGCAGACCCAAGTGGTTCAAGGGCTTTCTGGGCCATACTAAGAAACCTAGACTTTGGCTACTGAAAGATTCTGTACAGGAGAGCAATGTCGAATTATTTTCCTCCTCTCTCTTTAAATCTTTTTATTTTCTTAGCCAGATCACTCAAGCAATAATGAGTAACATGAACTTGGGGGAAAGTGTGGAGGCTTAGGAGATTATTCACTTGCATGGCATGAGCTAAAGCAGTGGCTTTGATGCTGGAAATGATTTTGATGATGTACATATAGAACAAGAACTCAGTTTATGAGCTCCCTTTGTTATAAATATAAACATTTGTTTTCAAAGGTTCAATGGCAAATATTTCTTAGGTATTAAATATGCATATCAAAATTAATGAAAAAATTAAAATAACTATTTATAAGCTAAGACTGATTAAAACTAGTATGTGTCATCATCAAATATGAATGAAATCACTATGGTCTTGATAAAGCATTCCACCACCTTTAACAAAGACAAATGACAGTGTTGAATACCAAACAAGATTTTTAAAAATCCAAAGAAATATAAGGTGCATACACCTTACAAGTTTCTACCTTATGTTACATATTTGGAACTAAGGCCATTCAAATAGACAAAGTTGTATATAAATATATAAATTAGGACTGCTGAAATTGAAAAATGTTGTTATCCAAAGTGGCAATGCATTTTTAAAAAGCAATAATATGAATATGAAATTAACAGAATATGTGATGTAAATATACTATTATGTAGAAGACAACAAATGCTGTCTTATCAAATATATTGGTAAGATATTTGGTTTGGCAAGTTGGAATGGCAAAGAAATACTTTTGAAATAGGACTACTAGAAACATCTTAGATGAAACTATAGTCTAAAACTAAGGGATTATAATTCGAGTTCACATAATATGAAATTAGACAATATACAAAAAACCAGTTGCCACTGAGTTGATTCTGACTCATGGCAACCCCATGTGTATCAGAGCAGAACTATGCTCCATAAAGTTTCCAGTGGCTGATTTTGGGGAAGTAGATAGCCAAGTCTTTCTTTTGAAGCACCTCTGGACAGACTTGAGCCACCAACCTTACAGTTAGCAGTTTAGAGTGTTAACTGCTTGCACAACCAGGGGCCCCAGACAATACAGTACAATGTAATCAAATGAAGTAGGTATAGGAGTAGTGAATCAACCCAGAAAATATATATTCAGTTGTTTTAGAAGGCATCCAGATGATTCAAAAGTGCCATTAGAAAAATATAAAGGAAAACACATAGGTATAATAAAATACCTAAACACAACCTAAAATTCTATTGATAATTATACTGTATATAGCAACTATTTATGAAGCCATCTCTCAAATCTCTAATAAGACTTTAAATAAGCATGTATTTATGTCTGAGTGATTCAAGTGTGGATACCCCAATATTCTGTTTCTCGCATTAGTCAGTGTGATGGTTAAGACTGTGGGTCAACCTGGCTGGGCCATAATTCTCCGTGTTTTTATGTAATCACTCCCATGATGGAATCTGCCGTGAGTAGCTAACCAGTTGAAAGGGATTTTCCTTGGGGGTGTGGCCTGCATCAAATATAAGGAGATGTTCTGGATTTTTGCTCTGCTCTGGATCCTGGGGCTGCCTCCTGTTCATCTGACCTCCAGTTCTTGGCACTTGAGCTATCAGCTTATCTGCCGATGTTAGGATTCGTGGATCTTCACAGCCCTGCTCTTCAACCTGCCAATCTTGGGCTCACCAGCTATGTGAATCAAGAGAAGCCTCCTTCCTGATCCACGGATTTGGGACATCCCAGCCTCTACAATCAAGTGAGCCATTTCCTTGATATAAATCTCTCTATATACGTATTTATATGCTTTACTGGTTTCGCTTCTCTAGAGAACCCAGTCTAAGACAGTCAGCATGTCTTCATGTGAAACATTCAATTCCTCTCTTTATCTTAAAAACCTCTAGGAGGATTTGCTGGACTGTAAACTGAGAAAGTGCAAACCAGGATGATAAAGCTTCTAACTTTCTGGGCCAATGGGCTTTACTACGCTTTTAATACACTGTCCCATATATCTAGATAGCTACATGCTATAGAAATAATAAAATTGTATTCTACCTGTAATTTCTGTTTACCTGTAGCAGTTTGCCCCGTACATGCAGGATGTTCTTTTGGCCTTGTCTTCTTCAGAACCTTGTGGAACTGAAACAGTCGCCTCTGCATTCGAAGGTTCAGGCTTAGTGGGATCAGAGTCAGACTTAGGATGAGATCCTGGGGACTCATCATGGGAAGAGCTGCCTTGGGCACTGAAACAACTCTCAGAACAGCTCACTGCCTCGTCTTTTTGACTTGGGGTTCCTCTAGTGACGATTCTCTGTTCAGAAATCTTGTCAAGTTCCTGTACTGGGATTTTGTTTCTCTGTGTAATAGTCTTCACATTATTCACCTCTGTGCTTCTTACTGTGACTGCAGAAAACGACTGTGGCACTTCCTATAAAACAAATGAAACATTTTTTAAAAGAAACATATAAATTTAATCTCAAAAGACTGAAACTACAAGATTCATGCTATATGTATATTTTAATAAAACTTTACATTTTGAAAACTTCAAGATTCACATTTTAAAGTTCTTAAAAATTACTGCTATTTGCTATGTCTCTAGTTTTATAACTTTAAAAAAAATGTTTGCAGTTATCAGAAAATGAATTTATAGTTCCACCAAAATTTACAATCATGTCAAACATTCAGCTAAACATAATCAAAGAGTACAAATGAAAACATGAGAGAATATAACATTTGCTTTCATTTAAACGTAATCTTTCCGAAAAATCTACAAGGCTCTTAAATTTCACTGTTTCATACTGTGTCATGCTTTTAATATGCACTATCCTTATAATTTCTTATAAGTTATCTATAATACTTTATTTCTACCCTCTAAATATAATCATGATATTTTTCTATAACTGAATGATAAAATTGCTCCTCCCTTGTAGACATATTTTGCATGAAGCTATGTTATGACCAGCTCAGAAAAAAAACAAAAAAGATCGCTTTCAAGTGGTCTGAATAGAAGTTTCAGTTTAATCAATTAAAGATGCTTTGACCTAAGTAAGTATTCTCATTAGAACTGCACAGCCATTTTAATTTGTACTTGTTGTTTTTAGGTGCCGTCGAGATGATTTTGACTCATGGTGACCTCGTGCGACAGAGCAGAACTGCCCCATAGGGTTTTCTAGGCTGTAATCTTTATGGGAGCAGATTGCCAGGTTTTTCTCCCGTGGAGCCACTGGGTGGGTTCGAACTGACAATCTTTTGTTAATAGCTGAGCGCTTAACCATTGTGCCACCAGGACTCCTTAATTTGTACCTACCACAATCATAAGGGGTAATAGTATTATCCTATTAAAAATGACCTCCTACTTACGCTTCTTGTGGAGTAGAAACATGGCTCAGAAAAACCTGAGTCCCCCTGGTAACCATTTTTAGGATGCACTGACAGGATACTAGAGATACATAAATGTTCACTCAACGTATAACTGAGGAACCATGTTTGCTGGCTGCCATCTGGAAACACCTAGTTTTCGTTTTACTTAATATCAAACAACTGAAATTTCTTGAGAAGGCATTATTAGGATAACTTCCTTTAGACTAATAAGTGTTTTTTTTTCTTTTTCAAGAAAAATAGTATATAAGTTTAAAATGCTATCCAAACTGACTAAAGACCTTACAAACTGAACCTACGTCTTATCATGGTTTCTGTAGAGTAATGTATCGTTGTTGCTGTTGTTGTTAACTGCTGTTGAGTTGACCCCCAACTCCCGACAACCCCGTGCACAATGGAACGAAATGTTGCCTGGTCCCGTGCCATTCCTATTATTGGGTGAGGATCACACCATTATGATCCATATCTTTTTCACTGGCTGATTTTCAGAGTAGATTACCAGGCCTTCCCAGTCCATCTTAGTCTGGAAGCTCCGCTGAAACCTGTTCAGCATCACAGCAACACACAAGCCTCCAATGACAGAGAAGTGGCTGTGCAGGAGGTGTACTGACTGGGAATTGAATCTGAATCTCCCACATGGAAGGTGAGAATTCTACCCCTGAAACACCAATGCCCCCATAGTAACATATAACCTATGAGAAATATAACCATTTGGATTCCTCTTGCAGCTGACCCTCAGCTGGTGGCATTCATGCCACATCCCTCTAAAACACACACTTTGTTTCCCAGCAGTAGTGGTCTCAACTAGACCTCAATCTCACCTCCTCTTTGTTATATGACCAACTGGCACATGCCAAGGACTCTGAGGTGGGAATGGGGCAATCCTGACCCACCTCCCCACTCGGCAGCCCCCACTACTGGATCAGATCTCACCAATTTTCATTTTCCCTATTCAAGGTAATAATGGGACAAGTCAGCAAAGTCACTGGCTAAGTAGATGTCCAATAAAATGCCAGTGTCCTGCCCCAGTTGGAATCTGAAAACTCTGCCAGTAATTCTATAAGAGCACCTCTCTTCTCTTGTTTTAGAAAAGGAGGAAATAACTTTTCCCCACCAACTGTGAGCTGGAATCAACTTGAAGGCAATGGGTAGATTTTAAAAATCTTCTTTTTTTTTCAGTTCTTTTTGTATAAAACCTGATTTTTTTTTAAAAACTAAAGCAAAAACAATATATAGAATACAATTCTATTTAGTTCTTTCAAAAATCCCAATATATTTGTTTGGGTACTTGTGTAAACCCAAAGTAAAAGATTTAGGATACAAGTCAAAATATTAGTAGGGCAATAGGACTGAAATATGAGGCAAACCGAGATCTTCACTTTTTAATCAATATGCTTCGCAATATCCTATGTTTTAACAAGTATGCATTATTTTACCATTTAGAAAATGAAATATAAGAAATGAAATGTATAGCATTATACTACACGAAATATAAAGAAGCATTTTTAAAATCCTCACAAGGACTACATTTAACATGTTAATTTATTCTAAAGGAGAAAAGAATGATAAAGTCACAGATATAAATACCATGGATCAGAGGTTCTCAAATGTGTTTTAAGAGGCACAAAAACTGGCATTCATAATGCTCGTTATGAAAACTATGAGATACTGATATACAGTAGACCCTTGGCATTCAAAAATTTAACATTCGTGGTTTCAATTATTTATAAATGATCTCCAAAATCCATTAGATGCAGTAATTTTAAGTTTGCTGGGGCATAAATTTGTACTGTGCCCATTACAAAGCTCAGGAGCTACAGCAAGTCACTGAACTGGCAAGGAAGGTAATGAGAATGACGGATGGCGCTCAGTACTTGGGAGAAGGTGGGAAAAGACAGAAGAGTTCCATATTTCATAAGCATCCATACTGTGTATTTCCTAGATTAGATTAAAATGTGAAGAATCAGAGTAGGAGGCTAGAGATTCATGAGAGAAATACCAGAATCCCCTGCTCTATTTCATGCCAGAGACCTCTGGGAGCATGGAGCTGGGAGAAGATGATCTTGGTGCTTGGAGGTGGCTCAAAAATACTATTATGGCTATTAAAATAGTCTATTAACTTTTCCAACAAGCCTTCCCCTGCCGTTCAAGCATGTGAAGTTTTAATGTACTTCAAGGGTCAGGATAAAAAACTTTCCTCAACACAGGTTTAATAAAGTAAGACCTCCAACCCCTGCCAAGCAGTCCTTGGCAAGAATGTCTGTGCTGATAAGGTGCCTTAGAAGTCCTGGTCAATTCCATTAGTATCCATATGCTAGTGACTTAAAAATCATAACCTCCAGCTTCAACTTCACCCCTGAGCTTCAAAGTCATAATATTCAACCACAAGCTAGGTAATTCTTCCTCAACGTTCTTTGAACCTCAAACTTAAAATGTCAAAACTAAAATCCTACCTCTATCCTTTACCATAGTTTCTGCCCCTATAATTTATCCATTCATCCTACTCAGACACTTGGAAGTCTACTTTTCAATCATGCTTGCCCTCACTCTCCCCAGATCCAATCAACACGGCCTGTAGTTTTGCTGCCTAAATATTTCTCTAATCCAATACCTTCACTCCATCCTTAATGCCACTGACTTAGGTCAGATTCTCTTTCTTTCTTGACAGGGTTAATGCCATAATCTCCTCTCTCATCTTCTGTAAACCAGGGATATTATCAATCTACTCTCCAGAATTTTCTAAGAATTAAACAAAATAACATCTTTCTCAGTGCTGGGTCTAGCCCATAAGAACTCAATAAATGGGTGTTGTTTGTCACTTACAGTTGTTGTTCATGGCATTATTACTGTCACTACATTACTCTTTGCTTAATGCTCACTGAATGCATGAATAAATGAATGAATAGATGTTTCTGTGGGACTGACCAGAGCTGTGCTATGCTGTTGATGTGTGCCATCAAGTCAATTCCGACTCACAGTGACCCAATGTGACAGAGCAGAACTTCCCCATAGGGTTTCCTAGGCTATAACTTTTATGGGAGTAGATCATCAGGTCTTTTCTCCTGTGGAGCATCCGGTGGGTTAAAAACCGCCAACCTTTTGGTTAGCAGCGAGATGCTTAACTATTGCGTCACCAGGGTATTATTATATTATTATATGGTACCAAATCCAAATGGCCAATGAGGAGGAAAGTGTGTAAGACGTAGTCAACTAATACTGAGGAGTTCTGGGGGATACAGCCTTACTTATGAGATAGCTGTGTAAACAGACATATATTAATCACCCCTGCTTTTTCCACGAAGAAATAATGAGCAGGATCTCAGAGCAGGCAACAATATGCAGAGAAATGCTCTCTTTAACAGCCAGCTTATTCACTCTGGCAATTATTATAGCAGGGGAAAGCTGCATATACAGCACAGGGGAGGCACAGCAATAGGCAGCTGATACATGTTAGTATTTTGCATAAGTAGTTTCAGTTAGGCTTCCTTCTGTCATTCATAACTGAGTTTTAATTAGATTACACAGAGGAAATACTATTTTTCCCTCTAAAGTTAATCAATTCAAGCACCTTCACTTTCACTCGCAGACTAGATAACTACATAACTGGGAAGGAGTTGCAGAAAGACGCAAGCGAACTGATGAAAACTATGGACGATTTCAGAGCAATTATCTTCATCATCAGAAGTTACCAGAGTCAAAAATGTCTGCAGATAGTCTAGTACGGTATGGCAGAAAAATCCATTGTAGCCAAAATGAGAAGACTTGGGTTTGAGGCCCAAGGTCACTAGGTATGTGTCCTTGGAGATCAGTTTCCTGTATGGTGTTGAATGAGGGTATTAGACTATATCAGATGCTCTCAACTTTGCACATTAAAATTGGGGTAGTTTATTTAAAATAATACTGATGCACAGGCCCCACCCAAGACCAACTGAATCAGAATCTGAGGGCTGAGGGGAAGGTGACTTCTGCCCCTTTTTTCTACTTCCTTTCGTATACCTCCCCAAGAGAAAGTTGATGATTCTTTCCAGGAAAAGTGACCCAAGTCCATTCTGCAAATGTGGCTAAATTGTTCTGTTCTTTATAACTGGCAATCTCCTGCCATTAGACTACATTGGTGGGCCCAGCCTCTTGTTTTCTCTCACTTTGAACTTTCATTCCTGCTCTGCATTGTACTCATCCCCTCTGGACTAGCTTCTTGTCTGCTACAGTGTTAGGATTAAAACTGGATAGGGATGGAGGGTAGGATTTGAAAAGGTCTTGTTTGAGTCTTCTTCAGTCTAAGTCATGCTCTCCAGCCTACCTTTACCAAAGAGCCCTGCATGAAGGGTTATGACATCTTGAGCCTTGTTTCTCCTGTGCTATGACAGGTGAACCTCCTTCAGGAACCCTAAGGGGAAGAGGTGCAACTGGCCAGGTAGAGCTCAGGTGTTCCTGGGGCCTAACTGTAATACTCCCGTGATGTCATCAAATTCTCATAAATACTTCAAACATCTTGGGTTCATTTATTGCTCATCTCTACAATCTGTCAAATAAGAAGGTGTTTCTTAAAATTTTATTCATGATTATCTAACTGTATGGGTTGTGATAAACATAGTAAAACATGTATACTCCAGGTTTTCATCTGAAAAAATATATTTCTCTTTTCAAAAAAAGGAAGGAGGGCAAAATCACATTGATATGCTCAGAGTTCAGAGAGTAGAGCATATTTAGGCTCAAATTTTATTTTGAGTTTTTATAGCCAATATACCTGGTTTTCATTTATTAAACATGACTCCACAAGTAAGCAAAAGAGTTGAGCCTACAGAAACTCAACCCCATTTTGCTACCTGGAGGAGAGGATCCAGTGAGAAGCTGGTCCTGATGGAAGAAAGGCAGGAATGAGGAGAGTACTGTAAAAGATCAGACCTCTGGGATAGCGGTTACCATTTCAATCATTCCAGCGTCAAAATCCTCACAACTGGACCAATAAGCAACATCATGATAAACGGAGAAAAGACTGAAGTTGTCAAGGACTTCATTTTACGCGGATCCACAATCAACACCCATGGAAGCAGCAGTCAAGAAATCAAATGACACACTGTATTGGGAAACTCTGCTGCAAAAGACCTCTTTAAAGTGGTAAAAAGCAAAGATGTCACCTTGAAGACTAAGGTGCTCCTGACCCAAGTCATGGTGTTTTCAATCGCCTCATATGCATGTGAAAGCTAGACAATGAATAAGGAAGACCGAAGAAGAACTGACGCCTTTGAATTGTGGTGTTGGTAAAGAATATTAAATATGCCACTGACTGCCAGAAGAATGAACAAATCTATCTTAGAAGAAGTACAGCCAGAATGCTCCTTACAAGCAAGGATGGCAAGAATATGTCTCACATACTTTGGATATATCATCAGGGAGGATCAGAACCTAGAGAAGGACATTATGCTTGGTAAAGCAGAGGGTCAGCAGAAAAGAGGAAGACCCTCAATGAGATGGACTGACACAGTGGCTGCAACAATGGGCTCAAGCATAACAACGATTGTGAGGATGCCACAGGACTGGGCAGTGTTTCATTCTGTTATACACAGGGTCGCTGTGAGTTGGAACTGACTCCCCAGCATCTAACAACAACAACAAAGTGCATGCTACTCTAAGATCAATCCTACTCCTTTGGCTCTCCTTGAGAACAAGAAGATGGGGACCCACAGAACTCAGTCATGGTCCACAAGGATTATTAAGACTGTCATCTTAAGCCACATCTCTCTTGAGAAGAAGAATGCCTGACCTTTCCCCCTGGAGTCAGAGGTGGCGTGGGTGCTGGACAACTGGGGTACCACCTCTGTATTTCTCTCTCTCTTTTAATACATCCAATAAATAGGACTTTTAAAAACAAACAAACAAACAAACTACCCAGCGTTAAAGAACATGTAATTTGGCCAAACCATTCTAGTGAGTTAGCAAAAACTGAAAGAGGAAAGGGGCGGTGTATAAATCCTGAAGTTAGCCCAGAAGTCATCCTGCAAGAGGCTATTAAGAACTATCCCATCATTTGTTCTTCTCTTCAGACTTAGCAAGAAAAAGGTGGTTATGTGCAGTCTGAGAATGATCAATGGAATGGACAAAACCAGATTTTACAATAAGAAAGAGAATGAAATCAGAATGGAGACATCAAACTGTGACCACAGTCAAATAGTCTCCTTTTTATTTTCTTCCCGTCTGAACATCTCTAAATTAAATAGCTTTGTTTTTTACAACTCAAGTACTATTTAAAGATTAGTTTCAATAACTCAAAAAATTGGGGGCTAGTTATATCTTCATAAATACAATAAGAAAACCTAATTTTGGTTTCTCCTTGCTGTATACAGCATATAATTAATTCCTATGTAGATCACCTGACAAAGGGAAAAAAAAAATCAAATAAACAATTTAAAAAATCACCTCGGATGAAATAACAGACTCTTCCTGATCAGCATTTTTGCACTTTTTTCCTGGGTCTTCCTCTGCTGATAGACTTTCTGAACTTCGTGATGACATTAATCGCTTTCTTCCTTGCTCTGTTATGTTTACCTGTGTTTTACCTTTGCAGATTCCTTCTTTTCCACTTCCCTGTACTACATCATTATCTTAGACACACACAAACACACAACACATCACACACACACAAAGAAAAAGAAGAAAATTATCTCCTATATCTTTAAATGTCAATAATCCATACTAAAAGAAAAAGGATAAAAGGGCAAGTAAAATTAAAGCTCTGTTTATATTAATACCAACTTAAAAACACTTATTTGTAAATCTGACAAAGTATTACTCAGCACAGTGGCCAAGATTTCTAGCCTGGGAGTCAGTCAGGCCCAGATTCCAATGTGGGCTCCACCCCTTAACTGTTTCACGTCACATCTCTGAGCTTTGAGAATTTGAAATGTAAATTTTGTAAATTTGAAATGTGAAAATGTAAATTATAATAATTCACGTAGTTATTAGGAGAAGTAAATGAAGTAAGATACGTAAACTACCTAGCAGAGTATCTTGCATATGTTAGCATTTAAATATTATGTATGGTTGCTTTCGAGAAGCCCTGGTGGCAGTGGTTAAAGCATCTGGTTGCTAACCAAAAAGTCTGCAGTTCAAATCCACCAGCCGCTCCACAGGAAAAAGATGTGACAGTCTGCTCCCGTAAAGATCTACAGCCTTGGAAACCCTATGAAGCAGTTCTACTCTGCCCTATAGGGTCACTACAGGGTCTCTATGAGTTGGAATAGACCCAACGGCAGTGGGTTTGGTTTGGTTTGGTATGGCTGCTTTCAGACTACAAAGGCAGAGTTGGGTAGCTGAGAGAGACACTAAATGGCTAACAAAGCCTAAAACACTTACTCTCTGGCTCCTTACAAAAGAAGCTTGTTAACCCCTGCTTATCTGTGTTCTAAAGGATATTTAAGTGACCTGAAGTAACACTCCTTCTTTAAGTTTAGGAAAGGCATACTAATAAAATACTGTCTGTACTATCAAAGAAGAAAATCAATGGAAGCATAATTAAAATAATATATTTATCTATGGAAACTTATGAATAAACTATTCCAATAACTAAACATTGCCTAGAATATTTAAATATTCATCATGAAACTAAATTATAAAGCATTTCATGTTATTTTAGAAACTGTCAGAAACAGGACTTGAATAGGACTATACAGCTTGGTGCAGCAAATGATCAACTGTTAGAACAGTTATATATTAGTTAAACCAAAGGAAAATAATGAAGAATGGTATTTTTACTATGCTAAGAACCATAAAACACAAACTAAGTAGGATGTGGCTTCTGCCAAAGCGGTGGTTTATCATATTCTGAGTTTCAAGTATCACATACATAAAATGCAACATATGTATATGTGTGTATATACATATATATACATATATGTACATGTATACATATACCCACACAGACACAATATGGTTTATATATTATGTATATATATTTGATATGTTCAATTCTAAATTCTCTACTACAAATACTCCTTCTAGGGACCAGAGCTAGTTTCTTTTTGCAAAGGAAGAAGTCATTTTAACATTGTTGTTAAATTGTTATTCACAAAAAGTATACAAAGTAAATGCCTTAATTGGCTCACAATCTTTACATGTGGTATAGCAAGTATTTTTCTAAATCTAAAGGAGGCATGGTTAAATGATGGAAATATAAAATGAATTAACTAGTAATATAAATCAGTTTTATTGTTAACTATTATTAACTACATTTACTTATATGAGCTGTTACATTAATACTATATGAATGATAGCTTAACCATATGCATATTATATCGTTAAAAATCTATCCATCCAATCTTACCCCCTAGAGGAGCCATTCCTAAGAGCTACAGTAACAATTTGATGTGCATGCTTCTCAGCTTTTTCCTAAGTTAAAGCAAACATACCTACAAATATGTATATGTAAACACACACAGAGCTAAAAAGTATAAATGCTATTATTCCTGTAGGATAAATATCTAGAATTGGAATCTTTGGATCTAAGTATATTACAGATTTAAAAATTTAAGAGATTGCCAAGTTACTTAAAAAGGTTATACCAGTTTGTACTTCCACCAACAATATTCAGTAACACTCATTTCTCCAGCACTGGATATTGTCAGTGGTTTACATTTTGATAAGTTTTATGAACAAAAGACGGTATCTGGTTGTTTTAATTTACATTTCCTATCTGATAGTACAGTCATATATTTTTTGGCTATTTGTATTCAGTCTTCTGTAGTCTGTCAACATACACTGTCCAAAATTTCTACTGAGTTTTTACCTTCTTCTTGTTACTAGGTAGACAATTTTTAAAACCTTTTTATAGGTATGGCAGTACTATCTTCCAGTCTATTGTCTGCCAGTCTGCTATTTGCCTCTGACTTTGTTTACAGTGTCTTGTTTATATAAATTTTTTTTTCATTTTTATCTATATAAACCTGCCAAATTCTGCCTTATGGCTTCTGAGTCCCCTATCACCTTAAGAAAGCTTCCCAGAAGTAATAATCTTTTCCCTGTAGTTTCTTCAAATGTCTTAACAGTTTTAATTTTTACATTAAGTTTATGAATTCAATGGGAATTTATTTCTGATTATGGTATGAAGTAATGCTCTAATATTATTTTCTTCCAAATGGATAGCTAATTTTTCCAATATCATTTATTGAATAATGCTTTCTTCCCCCATCAATGTGAACTAATAATTTGAATAACACTTGTATTGACTGGTCTTTCTTGTAGGTGTATGGATATTATCCTATCACTGACAGCACTGTATTTCAGGATAGACCTTGAAATGTTCTTTTTGACAATGAATGCAATGCCATTCCTCTTTAATCTGTCATTCCTGGCATAGTAGACCATACAATTGTCTGATTCAAAATAGCCAATACCAGTCCATTTCAGCTCACTAATGCCTAGTCTGTCAATTTGCCATACTGTGGTAGCTTGTGTGTTGCTGTGATGCTGGAAGGTATGCGACCAGAATTTCAAATACCAGCAGGGTTACCTATGGTGGGCAGGTTTCAGCAGAGCTTCCAGACTGAGACAGACTAGGAAGAAAGACCTGGCAATCTACTTCTAAAAAACTTGGCCAGTGAAAACCTTATGAAGAGCAGCAGAACACTGTCTAATATAGTGCCAAAAGATGAGCCCCCTAAGTTGGAAGGCACTCAGAAGACAACTGGGGAAGAGCTGCATCCTCAAAGTAGAGTCAACCTTAGAGTCGCGCTTTCAGGACCTTTATTTGCTGATGTGGCACAACTCAAAAATGAGAAAAAATAGCTGTAAACACCTATTAATAATTGGAACACAGAATGTACAAAGTATAAATCTAGGAAAACCGGAATCTAGGAAAAAATGAAATGGAATGCTTGAAGATAGATATCTTAGGCATTAGTATGCTATAAGGGGTCTATGGGGGCTCATTATATACACTTTTTATTTTTGAAATCTTTCACAAAAAAATTCAAAAGACAGTGTGCAAATTTGAGAAGTTTGTCTATTTTCCCACATACTCAGTTTTTTAAAGTATTGTGTAGAAAAACCTTTAAAAAATACTTTGGTACCACAGTTCCATTTATCACTATTTCTAACACTGCATGTCCAGGTCTATCACTAAAATTCTCAAAAAAGTAGTACTATATAACAGAACTAACAAGACTTTAAAACTGTTTACATGTTTATTTGACCAACTTTTACATGTGTATATATATATATATGTAAAGAGATGCCCATCATTTCCCTCCTGACTACACCCTCTTAGAAAACCTCGACCTGGGGGGACCTAGCTCATAATGGACCCGGCTGATTCTCTTATCTGAAAATTTGGAATTGAGAGACCCAGTGGCACAGACACTGTTGGGCAGTGAAGGCTTAAGGACAATAGAGTTGGGCCGGTGTCAGAAGTGAGGCAAGCCAAAGCCACACGCAAGTCATAGCTGAGCAGAAAGTAGCAGCCTTTGCAAAGAAGAAAGAAAAACAGAGATGTATTCAGAGACGGAAAAAGGGAAGAGCTGCCTGATAGCTCCATTTCCTGTAAAACCTGATTATACTTCCTATACTTGGGTTTGGAAAGTAACCCTCACTAAACTCACAAACTCCTCTCTAATTAAACTAGCTTAAGTAGGCTTCTATTACTTCCAAATACATAAAATGCTGCCTAAATAAGATGACATAGTTAACATTTTAAAGATCTTGAACCAATGAGAACACCCACAGGAGACAAATCATTGCGAGCTGTGCTAGGACAGAGGCCACGTCTTCTTTGAATCCCCCAGCACATAATTACTGTGTGCCCGACACTTTTTATTTAATTAAATTAATTTAAAAACTCTTATTGTGTTGGCTGGCCTTTTCTCTTAGATATGACCGAACAGGTTTGCTTTAAAAATCTGTATTAATATCAGAAGTCTAGCATTACAGACGTTAGTGAGTTAAATAGTATCTCCCCAAAATTTAAGTCCACCTGGAGCTTCAGCATGTGACCTTATTTGGAAATAGGGTTTTTGTAGATGTAATTAATTAAGATGAAGTCATACTGGATTAGAGCGGGCCCTAAATCCAATCACTGGTGTCCTTATAAGAACAGAGGACACACAGAGATACACACAGGGAAGAAGGCCATGTGACAAAGGAGGCAGAAACTGGAGTGATGCAGCTACATGCCAAGGAATGCCAAGGCCTGCCAAGAGCTACCAAAGTTGGAAGGGGCAAGAAAGGATTCTTCCCTAGACCCTTCAGAGGGAACATGGCCTTGAAGACACCTTGATTTTGAACTTCTGGCCTCCAAACTGAGAAAATAAATTTATGATGTTTTAAGTCACCAACTTTGTGGTAATTTGTTGCAGCAGCCCTAAGAAACTAATATACAGACTTAACACAACCCTACAGAATAGAGTAGAACTTCCCCATAGGGTTTCCAAGGAGCAGCTGGTGGATTCAAACTGCCGACATTTTGGTTAGCAGGCAAACACTTAACCACTGTGCCACCAGAGCTCCAACAGATAGAGTCTGTTAAAAAAAAAAAAAAATTAGCAGGATGGTGTTTCATTAATGGCATAAAATAGCTTAGGTTTAAAATTAAACTTCATCTAAAAAAGTTTTAGGTTAAATTATACAGTTATCCAACCTCTACTCTATCTGCATTTGTTCAGAAAAACTTTGAAATTCTATCCAATGTTTTCCTGAAATTCTTAGCCTTAGCAAAAACAAAAACTTACCTCCACTGTTGACTGGTGCTGAAAGGGTCTGATCACTTAGATTTTCTGCTAACATCCAAGCTGGAAGGACTCTTCTCCTCTGGGCGAGATCTGGCTGCTGCTGACTGAAGTCGCCACATTCCTTTACAACAGACTAAAAATGCACCTATGTATTAATTACTAAACATAATCATTTATCCTTAACAAATTACTAAAATTATTTACTTTGCAGAAAATTGCCATTAAAAAATCCACCTGCAACTATGGATTGGGTTAGACAAATTTCTCAAAGAAAGAAATGCGTTATTTCTATTCGCTGAAGCATTGGACTAGTATGATAGTCCCTAGAGCTTTACTTAAAAACAGAAAACTCAAGTCAAAACTAGCAATTTTGTCATAGCATATCTAACTCCAGTTGTCTTTTCTCTCCTCGAAATAACTTAAGGAACATGTTACAAACGTACGACATCTTAAATTTCTCACCACACTCTTTGTAGGCATAGTTGAGGTGTTGGCTATTTCTGTGCTTTCTTCCAGATGTGGGGCGGCAGTTTTCTCATCAGGCGAATTAATCAATGGGGGTTTTGATGTTTCATCCAATGTATTATCTTCTTCAAGCATCTGACTGTTTCTATAAAATAAAAATCCTTTTATCAATCATTTACATTAAATTTAAAACACTTTTGCTGCCTAACAATGTCATTGTAAATATGATTCTCCTGAGTACATGTGATTGGTGAGTTGTGCTCCTTTCTCAAACTTGAAACTTGGCAAATAAAAAACCAGATTATAGTATACTGGAGTAAAGCATATACACACACACACACACACACACACACACACATATATATATATACATACATATATATGTTGTTGTTTGTATGGATTATGAATTAAAAAAAAAAAAAAGCTACCAAGGAACAGGGCTCCCTAGTATCACCGGAGATGACAGCATTATAGAGTTATGGATGCCAGGTGGCTGCACTTAACCATTAGAGGCTAAGTGGATGTTATTTCCACAACAGACAGCAAAGTTGGAATGGCACTGACCTATAAGCACCTGTAATGCCTACCCAGCTGGAGGCTACATTTTCCAGCCGTCCTTTCAGCTCAAGGCAGCCATGTGTCCAATTTTTTTTTCCCCTAGTGGGATGTGAATTGAAACGATGTATGTAAGATACTTCTCCTAGATTCTCTCCTTCATTCCCTGCCCACCAACTGGAAATGGCAGTGATGGAGTAAATTAGGAAGCCCTATTTTGAGGATGGCAGGGCTACCCCATTAGCTGGAATACTGAGATTACTTCATGAAGCAGAGCCCACCTACCACTCTGAACTATTCTGTGACAGAAAAATGAAATTCTATCTTGTTTAAGCCCTGCATTTCAGGGTTATTTGTTATAGTTACTTAACCTTTACTCTAATATAGGCATCAGCAAACTATAGTGCTCAGGCCAAATTCAGCCTGCTACCTGTTTCTGTAAATAAAATTCTGTTGAAACACAGCCAGGCACATCTGAATGCACACTGTCTAGGATTGCTTTTGTGCTACAACAGTAGATTTGAGTCACTGTGACAGAGATTATATGGCCCACAGTATAAAATATGTATATTCTGCCCTTTACAGAAAAAGGTTGCTAACATCTGTTCTAATACACACCCCTTTTTGTGGAAGTATCAGTGTATTAGTTTTCTTTTTCATTTTGCCTTTCAAATATTAAACGCTTAACCAATAAAACCAAAAGCATCCTTAAATGAACCTAAAATTGCCTAAATGCTTAAAAAGGAAGGCTATATGCTTTAAGTCATATATGAAATGATACAAATGTGTTAAATGCCTTCAATTAAAAATAGTGATTACAGTCAAACTTTTAGGTAAATGGTTTCAAGCTACTGATCTTTCAGTTTTAATTATTACTACATGAGTGATACATACAAATGTGTTAAATGCCTTCAATTAAAAATAGTGATTACAGTCAAACTTTTAGGTAAATGGTTTCAAGCTACTGATCTTTCAGTTTTAATTATTACTACATGAGTGATACGGTTAAGAGCAAAATAACTGAAAATGATAATTGCACATCATAAATTCAATGTGTTCTCATGGGAATATTTCAAAACCACAAACTCAAAATAGCCAAAAGTAAAATCACCATCCTGAAGGAAAATTTGCACTAACAAGCTAAACACAGAACATTTAATTTTTCAATACAAAATAACATGATTAATTTGGTTACCCTAAAGTAGGCACACAATTATCAAACCATATATAAAATATTTACTCCATCTTTCAATACATTTAGCTGGATAGCAACAACACAGCAGATGATACTACTCAAAATAGCCTGAGAAAAGTACAGCACTATTAAAGTGGGTTGCATTTTCAGTTTTACTAACACTGTCCACTCCCACAACCTGATGTATTTAAAGCATAACACTAGTCTTTCAAACTAAAGGGATAAGCGAATTTGAACAGATATAAATAAAATTAAAATTGACATATAGTATTTTAAATAGGTTATCAGGCAATGACAATACTTTGTTTTATAGAGATGGACAACATTTTCCTGATTTCTCAAAAGAATTCTACTACGAAAACTTATTATAACAAAAACAAGTTTCTTTACATTTCACATTTCAGTAGATGGTTAAAAAACCGCTACTTATACATGTGTGATAAGAGAAAGTAGAAGAGCAAAATTTGTACTTTAAAGGGCAAGCAATGGTTATTGAATTTCATTTAACTAAAATTTAAAAAAAATTCCTGATACAACTTCTTTCCATTACTAGAAAAACTTTTTATTGGAGTTTAATGTACATATACTGAAATGTATATATTTGAAGTACACAATTAACAAATGCATATATCCATTTAATCTACAACCTTATCAAGACACAAAGTATATGACCACAAAAATTTCCCTTGTACTTTCTTCCCAGTCATTTCCTTGGAAATAATCATTGATTGGATTTCTAGCACTATAGATCAGCTTGCTGATTACAGAACTTAATACAAATGGAAGGTACTGTTTTGTGCCTTCTGTTTAGTAGATTCCACAGGATTTTCTATATACACGGTAATGTCATCTATGAACAAAGAGTTTTACTTCTTCCTTTCCAATTTGATGCATTTCTTTTTTTTTTTTTTTTGCTTTATTGGACTGTCTAGGACCTTCAATACAATTGTGACATAGAAGTTGAACAAACAGACACCTTTGTCTTGGTCCCAATCTGAGGGGAGAACATTCATTATACTTCACTATCAAGTATAATGTTTGCTGTAATTTTTTATAGGAAGTTCCCTTCTTTTCATAGTTTTCTCAAAATTGTTTTCATTTATTTTAAATAATGAACAGGTGTTAAATTTTGTCAAAATGTTTTTAATACATTTATTGAAATGATGTGTTCAGTGCATCAAATATATTCTTGAGATGGTTTAAAATTCAGGCGGTATATACTGAAGGCCATACACTGGCTCCTGTGGACTTGTTTTCATTTTCTTCAACATCAGCTTGAACTTGTATATGTGCAATTGGTGATCTGAACACTAATAACCAAAGACAGAATAGTTGTGGGATGACATCAAGGACATCATACATGAAGAAAGCAAAAAGTCATTAAAAAGACAGGAAAGAACAAAAAGATGAAAATAGATGTCAGAGTAGACTGTGAAATTTCCTCTTGAATGTAGAGTAGCTAATGTGAATGGAAGAAACAATGAAGAAGCTCAACAGAAGATATCAAAGGGCAGCTCAAAAAGACAAAGTAATGTATTATAATGAAATGTACAAAGACCTGGAGTTAGAAAATCAAAAGGGAAGAACATGCTTGGCATTTCTCAAGCTCAAAGTACAGAAGAAAAAATTCAAGCCTTGAATTGCAATACTGAAGAATTCAATGGGCAAAAAACTGAATGATGCAGGAAGCATCAACAAAATATGAAAGGAATACAGAGACACTGCACCAAAAAGAACTGGTCAATGTTCAACCATTTCAGGAGGTAGCATGTGATCAAGAACTGATGGTGCTGAAGGAAGAAGTCCAAGCTGCACTGAAGGCATTGGAGAAAAACAAGGCTCCAGGAACTGATGGAATACCAATTGAGATGCTTCAACAAATGGATTCAACAGTGGAAGCACTCACTCATCAACACTAAGAAATTTGAAGACAGCTACCTGGCCAATTGACTGGAAGAGATACATACAGGTGCCCATTCCAAAGAAAGAAGATCCAACAGAATGTGGAATTATCAAGCAATATCATTAGTATCACATGCAAGCAAAATTTTGCTGAAGATAATTCAAAAACAGCTGCAGCTGTACATCAACAGGGAACTGTCAAAAATTCAAGCTGGATTCAGAAGAGGACATAGAACAAGAGATATCACTGCTGCTGTCAGATGGATCTTGGCTAAAAGCAGAGAATACCAGAAAGATGTTTAACTGTGTTCTGTTGACTATGCAAAGCCTTTGACTGTGTGGATCATAACAAATTATGGATAACACTGCAAAAAATGGGAATTCCAGAACACTTAAACATGCTTATGTGGAAGCTGTACAAGAGATAGTTGGCTGAACAGAACAAGGGGATATTGTGTGGTTTAAAATCAGGAAACGTGTCCAGCAGAGTAGTATCCTTTCACCATACTTATTCAGTCTGTATGCTGAGCAAATAATCCAAGAAGGTGGACTATATGAAGAAGAACATAGCATCAGGATTGGAGAAAGACTCATTAACAACTTGTGTTATGCAGATGACACAACCTGGCTTGCTAAAAACGAAGAGGACTTGAAGCACTTACTGATGAAGATCGAAGACCACAGCCTTTGGTATGGATTACAACCTCAACATAAAGAAAACAAAAATCCTCACAACTGGACCAATAAGCAACATCATGATAAACGGAGAAAATATTAAAGTTGTCAAGGATTTCATTTTACTTGGATCAACACTCAATGCCCATGGAAGCAGCAGTCAAGAAATCAAACGATGTATTCCATTGGGCAAATCTGCTATAAAAGACCTCTTTTAAAATCTTGCGCGTGCAAATAATGGACAATGAATAAGGAAGACCAAAGAAGAATTGATGTATTTGAATTACGGTATTGGCGAAGAATATTGAATATACCATGGACTGCCAAAAGAACGAACAAATCTGTCTTGGAAGAAGTACAACCAGAATGCTCCTTAGAAGTGAGGATGGTGAGACTTCATCTTACTTACTTTGGACAAATTATCAGAAGGGACCAGTCTCCAGAGAAGGAAATCATGCTTGGTAAAGTAGAGGGTCAGTGAAAAAGAGGAAGACCCTCAACGAGATGGAATGATATAGTGGCTGCAACAATGGGCTCAAACATACCTACTATTGTGAGGATGGCACAGGATTGAGTAACATTTTGTTACATTATACACAGGGTTGCTATGAGTCGTAAGAGGTTTAACAGCACCTAACAACAACACTGAAATTATATTTCTCTTTTAATCTACTATAGTGAATTGTATTAATTGATTTTATACAATAAACCAACTTGTACCATACACCAACTCAGATATATCCCACTTGGTTATAATGTATTATCCTTATTACATATAGCTGGTTTAGACTTGTGTTTTGATATTTGGGATATTAGTCTGTATTTTTTTTTCCTTGTAATTTATTTGTCTGATTTTGGTGTGAGGATTACGGATGCTTCATAAAATGAGTTAAGAAGTGTCCTCTCTTCTATTTAAAAAAAAAACAACAAAGGTGTAATATTGGTATTACTTCTTCCTGGAAAGTTTAACAGAATTTATTAGTGAAGTTCTTTGTGGTAAACTATTTAATTGTGAATTCAGTTTCTTTAATGGACGTATGACTCATAAGATTTTCTATTTCTTCCGGTATCAGATTGGGTAAATTTTGTTTTTCAAGGAACATGTCCATTCAACTTAAGTTGTTAAATTTATTGGCTTAAAGTGTTTAATAATATTTCTTCATTATCCTTGTAAGATCTGTACAATCAGTAGTGATAGTCCCTCTTCCATTCCTGATACTGATAATTTGTGTTTTCTCACTTATTTTTTTCTTGGTGTGACTGTTAATTTTATGTGTCAACTTGGCTAGTTTATGGTGGCTGTTGTTTGGTCAAACAGAGCAGTTGCTATTATGAAGTAGTTACATGTGATTAAATCAGCTGGCCTTAAGTAAAGCAGATTATCTTCTATAGTGTTGGTAGGGCTTACCCAATCAGTTGAAGGCCTTACGAGCAAAAAGGGACTTTCCCTAGGGTGTGTTCTACCTCCAGACTACAAATAGACATTTTGCCAGAACCCCTCTTCTTCCTGTTGCCTAACCTACAGATCTGGAGACACAAAACTAGAGAAATCTAAAGCCTATCACCTGACCTATAGATTTTGGGACACAAGATTGCAGCAATCTCAAGCCCATTGCCTGACCTAAAGATTCTGAACTTGTTGGGCCCCTACAATCATGTGAACCAGTTCCTTAAAATAAACAAATAAATCTCTTTTGCACACATGCACAATCTATCCATCCATCCGTCTTACTGCTTCTGTTTCTCTAGAGAACTCTTAAGACACTTCGTGAGCGTTGCTAGTAATTTATTGATTTTACTGATCTTTGCAAAGAACAAATTTTTTGGCTTTGCTGATTTCCTTTATTTGTTTGTTTTCTATTTCATGATTTCTAGGCTTATTTTTTATTATTTCATTTCTTCTACCTACTTTGATATTAATTTGTTTTTTTTTTTTTTTTTGGCCTATCTTTTTAATATGGAAGCATAGATCATTGGGTTTATAGCTTTCTTCTTTTCTAATCTATATATTTAAATATAAATCTCCCTCTAAGGACTACTTTAGCTGCATCTCACAATTTTGATATGTTGTGTTTTCAGTATCATTCTATTCAAAATATTTTAATTCCCCTTGTGATTTCTTTGACCCGTAGTTATTCAGAAATGAGTTGTTTAATTTCCAAATAGTTGGCCATTTTTCTAGATATCTTATTGTTATATATGCTGTATAATTTTGTCCATCTATTTCTATAGTCTAGTTTATGCATTATATAATTTAAAAGCTGAAACAGACAAATAATCTTCTAATAACAGGTTCAACAAAACTAGTTTATGAATTTTAACTTTACACTAGATATCAATATTTTTGTTCTAATATCTCATTTACTCAGATTCCCTATTCTACATTTTCTGTCATTTGTATAAGAAAGAGGAGTTATACAAGCACAGTCTAAGCCAGAAGTTAATAACTTAATAAAATTAAAGAAGTTAAAAAAATAAGGAAAATGTAGTCAAATTCAAATTAGCTATCTTGTTACTATTAGATGGAAAATACATTTTCTAAACACAATGGTAAAAGATACCACATATGGGACAAATCACTATCGAGGCATAATAAGTTTCCAAAGTCAAATGTTTTCTAGAAACAAACAAACCTACACACACGTGCACACACACACAAAGAATCATATAGCTGCTATATCTCCAATAAAGTTTAATCCTAGAATGTTTTCTACCAAAGCATTTATGGATAGCTGAGGAATCTGGTTCCAAATACCATTACTTACTCTCATTTCATCTGATGATCTTACCTTAAAGTACATTCCATTTCTGTTTCAGAGTGTGTTGAGAAAACACGGAAAATGTACTTGTCAACTAACAAAGAAAAACAATCTCCAGGATTCAACCAGCGCCATAGATTTATCTTCAATGGTAATAGCTGGCTCTTCCCAGAGGACTGATAAAAACATGGGTTTGTGTGTATCTAACAAATAAAAAAAGAATAAAATGATGCTGTAATTCAGAATTATGACAAAAATAAAACAAAATTAGAACTGATCCAAAATTTTAGTATCAAAGCAATTTAAGTATATATTTGGACTTAAAAGTTTAATACACCTGGTACTTACAAGTGCCATAATTATTATTTATACATAAAAAGCTATAATGTATCTCTTATTTCTCTAGGAATCAAAGAAAACAAATTTATCAATTAACTGGTTAAAGAGTACTTTCTTCCATTTTGTTTCATACAGATACAACTGAACATAAAAAAGAGAAACAAAAAATAATCCTCAGTATGGAAATTAGATCTCTCAATTTTTAACCTAATTTTTAACCTAATCCCCGGAAAATGACTTGCTTCTTTTCAACTTTTCTCCTAAGAATTTCTTACTATGATTAAAGCATGAGAAACTGTAGAAGTGAGATTTTGAACAAATCTCTCAAGTAAACAACTCGGCCTTCTAGCTCCTTACAGAGGAATCGTCTTATTTTATTTAACTGAAACTCCCACTATGAAGATAATCATCTATATTCAAATTGCAAGTAGTAAATAGATCACAAAGTCAAAACTATTATATCTACTACTTTGTGTTATATTTGCCACTGACTGTCTCCATGTTAGCAAAGACAATGAGAACTCTCCATAACTGTTGTTGTTATTGTTGTTAAGTGTCAAGTTGGTTCAGACTCATAGCGACCCTATGTACAACAGAATGAAACACTGCCTGGTCCTGCAGCATCCTGACGACCATTGCCATGCTTGAGCCCATCGTTGCAGCCACTGTGTCAATACACCTCACTGAGAATCTTCCTCTCTTTCACTGACCATCTAGTTTACCAAGTCTGATGTCCTTCTTCAGGGACTGGTCCTTCCTGATAACATGTCCAAATTACGTGAGAAGAAGTCTTGCCATCCTCACTTCTAAGGAGCATTCTGGCTGTACTTCTTCCAAGACAGACCTGTTTGTTCTTCTGGAAGTCCAGGGTATATTCAATATTCTTTGCCAACACCACAATTCAAAGGCACCAGTTCTTCTTTGGTCTTTCTTATTAATTGTCCAGCTTTCACATGCATACGAGGCAACAGAAAAGACCATGGCTTGGGTCAGGCACCCCTTAGCCTCAACGTGACATCTTTGCTGTTTAACAGTTTAAGGAAATCTTTTGCAGCAGATTTGCCCAATACAATACGGCATTTGACTTCTTGACTGCTGCTACCATGGGCATTGATTGTGGATCCAAGTCAAATGAAATCCTTGACAACTTCAACGTTTTCTCTGTTTATCATTATGTTGTTTACTGGTCTAGTTGTGAAGGTTTTTGTTTTCTAATAAGTATACAGAAACTTCTATAACTAAATTAGAATATACATATTCTTCTCAAGCTAACATGGAGCATTTATGAAAACTAACCACTACTATACCTTAAGGCCAAGTATCAGTATCATATCATTATTTTACATAATCACAATGCTAATTTAAATTGCCATTTCAATAATGAAAAGAACTGTATCCTCCCCCTTTACATTTGGAAATTGAATACACACTTCAAAAACTCAAGTCAAGTAAAACTATCATAATTTTCATTAGAAAAACATTAAACAACAATTAAAGTACACTAATCTATTGGATGCTGCTGTAGCTGTTTTTAGTGGGAAATATGTAAACTTAAATTGGTATTTTAGAAAAAAAAGACTGAAAATTATATCCAACTTGAGAAGTTAAGAAAATAAAAACAATAAAACCTAAAAGAAGTATAAGAATAGGGCTGATAAAGATCAGAGCAGACATTAATGAAATGAAAACAAACTCGGAATAGAAAATAAAGAAGAGTGATAAAGCCAACAGGCGGTGTTTTAAAAGTTATAAAGTTGACAAAATTCTAGCTGTATTGAGCAAGCAAAAACAGAGAAGACATATACACAAGTACACACAAATTTTTTGGAATAAAAAAATGACAATTACGCATAAAACAAAATTTGAAGACTAAGAGACTATTTAAACACATCGATACATTTGTAAACATGGAGAAAACCAAAAACCAGTTGCTGTCGAGTTGACTCTGACTACAGCGACCCCATACGTGTAAAGTAGAACTGCTCCACAGGGTTTCCATGACTGTCACCTTTTGGAAACAAATTTCTAGGTCTTTCTTCAAACGCACTTTTGGGTGGGCTCGAATAGCTAACCTTTCAGTTAGCGGCTGAGCGTGTACCCATTTGTACCACCTAGGGACCTTAAACATGGCCGAAACTGATAATTATCTTAAAGACTAAGCACAAAACTGACTTAAAAATTTTAAAAAAGGGATGTATGTTTGTGTGTATGTGTGTGTGTGTGGCTAGTCTAAATTGTATTTAATTATAAAAAAAGAAATGGATTAGACTTATAATTTTTAAAAATATAATAAATAATTTAAAATCTTCCCAACTCCTCTCTAAACCAGACCCAAGAGGATATAAAGATTTTTCTGAATATTCAAACTCTTCCAGAGCCAGGAAAAAGAGGGGAGGCTCCCCATTTCCCTCAATGAGGCCAGTTTAACTTTGATTCTAAGAGCAGACAAAATATCAGCAAACTGAAGCCCACAACAAATAGATGATATAAGCTACCTATTTGAGAGGTATACTGTCGGCGTGTGCCTTTTAACACATCCAAGGGATTATAAATGCAAATGTAAACAGATTAATCTATAACTTTAGAAAGGCAAAGGATGAATTATCCCTGAAGAAATGGAACTAAAACACAAGTCAATTTTTTCTTAAAGTATCATTAAATATTAAAGTAAGATTGATGTGTACCCTCCCCCAAAAAAGGCTCTCCTTATTTTCAATGTTTTTTTTCAATTTTGAAAGCATTACTTAAAAAAAAAGTAAATAAAAGAAAGTCTATTATAGTATTTTAGAGATATTTTACAAGTATACATGTAATTTCACGGGAAGAAAAATAATCACAACTTGAGAACTGTTGCACAAAAGAACAAAACAAAATCATTCAAAGATGTGTATTTTGATGGATCGATACCAAAACAAAGGTCTTTTGCAATTTATGGGTAGTTTTAGAACTATTACTTCAATCATCCAAGAACCAAAAAGAATAACATTTTATTAAAATGAAATAAAAGCACTGACAGCCATGGATTCACCCCGAGGGCATAACCAACCACTGGTGAGACAGTCATTTACAAAGAACATCATCAGTTTGACTTTATGATGCATTCTCTCCTGCTGATACAAGACTGGAGATTAAATTTAAATGACACATTTCCAAGAACTGCAGACAGCTAAAGTCTTTTTTTAAAAGGGAAATATTAGAGAGGGAAAAAAAGACAGAAATTCGTCCAGTTCAATGTACAAGTTGATAATTGCCATAATGTCACTCAACTATCATTGTCACAGCTACTTTCTTTACACGACGGTTGTTTTGGATTTCCAATACAAAAGAAAGCAGAAAAACATTTCAATCGGTTAAGGCTACTTTGGGATACATAACATACAGAAGGGCCCATCATAATAAAATATTTGCTATATTCATTTATATAATTTTACAAAGTTTTTAAACTAAAACTTCCCTTTCAAACATTTGGTTACAATTTTAGGTATAACTTGCTTTAGCAGATCAAAGAATTTGTGATTGACTAGAGAACAGAGTTGTATCCTTTCACCTTATTTATTCAATCTGTATGCTGAATAAATAATCTGAGAAGCTAACTACATGACAAAGAACAGTGCATAGATTAGAGGAAGACTCCATAACCACCTGCAATAGGCAAATGACACAACCTTGCTTGCTGAAAATGAAGACAACTTGAAGAATTTAGTGATGAAGTCAAAGACTACATACATCCTTCATTATGGATTATACCTGAAAGTGAAGAAAACAAAAATACTTCCTCACAACTGGACCAGTAAACAACATCATGATATATGGAGAAAAAAACTGAAGTTGTCAACAGTTTCATTCTACTTGGATCAACAATCAATCAATGTACGTGAAAGCAGCAGTCAAGAAATCAAACAATGTATTTCATTGGTCAAATCTATTGCAAAAGACCTCTTTAAAGTGTTAAAAAGCAAAGATGTCATTTTAATGACCAAGGTGCGCCTGACACAAGCCATGGTATTTTTAATTGCCTCATAAGCATGTGAAGCTGGACAATGAAAAAGGAAGACAGAAGAAGAACTGATGCATCTGAATTGTGGTGTTGGCAGAGAATACTGAATATACAGTGGACTGCCAGCAGAACAAACAAATCAGTCTTAGAAGAAATACAACCAGAATGCTCCTTAGAAGTGAGGATGGCAAGACTTCAGCTCACTTACTTTGGACATGTTATCAGGAAAGACATCACTAGAAAAGTATATCACGTTGGTAAAGTAAAGGGTCAGCAAAAATGAGGGAACCCTCAAAGAGATGGATTAACACAATAGCCACAACAATGGACTCAAACATAACCAACGATCATGAAGATGGTGCAGGACCAGACAACATTTTGTTCTGTTGTACATAAAGTCGGAGCTGACTGGACAGCAACTACATATTAAGATTAAAAACAACAATACATATTAAGATAAAATAAATGAACTAGAAGTCACTTGCCCTTTTCATTCTCATTATTTTTAAGATTTTAAAACTTCTATTAACAATTAAAGTCAGTTTTAGGATTTCTTCAAATTTCTCTAAATTCTACCTTGCAGGTAGAGCTACAATAAGCAGCTGAATAACTGAATCAATCTATTTCAGGGGGATATGTATTTTATTGAAAACTATAACAAGAAATCAAGCATTGCATAAAGCAAAGGACCTATACATATATCACCAAGTCCAAGGAGCAGCTTTCCTTCAACTAGCATAATGTAAATATAATAATTCTTGGAATGAGATTTAAAATCCAATTAAATATTTTTCTAAAACCCATCAAATTCTAATAATAGAGTTGTACATTTCCTTAAAAATAAATATAATGATTTTTCACATCTTC